TCTGGGGGGCTGGGGGCTACTGTGACTCCTCTCGTTAGATGCCATCACTCTTCCTGGTCACCCAGTGAGCAGGGACAGAACCAGGAGTCAATTACAACGCCAAGGTACATGACCCTCCAAGAATTCACTGGGCTGACTTGACCCCTGACTAATTGGTTGTGGCAAATGCCATGTGCAGCCTTTCCTGGGGCCGTAGGAGGGCTTCCTGCAGCGGAGATCTGTGCAGCCCATCCTCAACGGACGCCTCTCCAAGTGTGCTTCTCAGTTCAACAGCATCAGCTTCATTTGGTGGGTTGGTGGCGGGCGGTAGGGGGCTGGGGGGGGGGGGCGTCTGTCAGAAATGCAGCTTCCCAGGTCCCACCCTGGACATCTGAAGGGGTATGGCATCTGTGCTTTGGATACTCACTACAATCGGAGAACCACTACTTGAGAAAATCTGCTTTAACTTGGCATTCCTCTGTGTCCCTCGGACATGAGTCCCCCAAGATCCAGTGGTTATTCCAGGTGCTCCCCGGAAAGGTCCGGTGAGTTTGGGAAGTACCATGTCTGTGCACCTCTTGAAGGTGTAGAATGTATGTTCATACGTCAGTGGAACCCATTTTTCTAGCCTAGCAAGTCCCAAACACATTACACTGAAGAGAGATGTTGGTGAGGAAACTTGCTGGAGTTTTCAGGGAACGCTGTTCTAGGCTTAGGTGACCTTAGGATGACTTAAGCAGACCCTTCACTCCCTGCGAGAAATTAAGATGAATATACCTGTGGTATTGCTGGTTCCAAACTTTGACAGTTTAGGCCTGCGTGAATCTGATGAAGCTTTAAGGTGACACTGTTGTACAAGATGTCGGCTTTGCTGAAACGCACATTACCTGGAATAAGTGCTTTAATTGTAGAATTAGGATGGGATTGATGTACTGTTTTAAATGAGATTGGCTTCAGAATAGCATTACAGTACTTTATATAGCACTTGACATATGTTAAAGGAACATATGAATGTAATTTATATATTCCTAGAATTTCAGTTACTTTGTGAGATTTGGGCCTGTCCCTCAACCCCAGTTTAGGATTTTTTTTTCTATACCTTGAAATGATTATAAAATAGATTTTTGTGGGAATTTTAACTCTATCCAAACCATTTTTGGAGCATTTTAAAGCCCCATACACAGAAGTATACGAAAGCACACAAAACAAGTGTCAGTTTTAGCACCACTGTTAACCCACTTTGCTTGTCTCATGAAAAATCTTTTTTAAAGTTTGTACATAGGTAACAAAAAGTTACTTTTAAAGTTACATAAAGGGCTGTAAGCTAATTGTGGTGTCTATTAAGCAGCATAATGAGACGTGAGGAGGTGGGACTTTGCGTGTTTGGCGTATTTTCATCTGCATTCAGCTTCTTACTCTGGGTTTGTATTCGAGTGCTATTTCTTTACAAATCCCCTTGTAATTACCACTCTGAAGTCTGCTGACTGTGTCTCCTGAACATACTTAGCATATTCTGCACATTATGGAAAAAGGCAAATTTTATAAGTTTCTGCTGTACTAACTATAGATATTTATTACTCTGTGAGTTGTCTATTTTTATAACCACCTGTGGTCCATTGTTCATTTTAATTCATATTTCTTACGAAGTATGGTAACAGGGAGGGAGACACCTAGATTAGAAGTTCAATTTGTACTACTTCAGCCAATCTGTGAATGTAAAAACTACACTGTTGCCTTGCTATGATCCACCCTTCTACAATGTGGAACAAGTATCTGAATGAAGTCCACCCTAGGAGATGGAGTCATACTGAACTTGCGGTTTTTCATTTAACTCTTAACTATAACATGACCCCATGGCATCCGCACCAAGAGGGCGTCGTGTGGGGTGCCATTGTGATAGGGGACTTTAGTTTTTCCACTAGTTCTTATCTGCTAGCCTTTTACATACGTGTGTTCTGTATTTGTTTACAGACTGGAGGTGGATATATAATTTTAAAGCTTGGTTTAATAAACATTTAACCCCCTAAACTTGCACCAGGGATCCTGTTTTTCTTTTTATCAGCTTGGGTAAACGTTTTATTTGTCAACTCTTTTTTCCTGAGCTGTGTTTCATTACCAATATCAAAGACAGTTTTCAACAGAAGGGCTTCATCTCTAATCCCAGGCCCTAAATGCATCTGTTTTTATTGTTTACTGATATTTTTACATAATTGCAGTTTAGGATGGAGACCTTCTAGTGAATTTGAAATCCCCTTCTCCCGACTCCATGTATACCTTTAAAAGCTGGGAAAATATAACCAGTGCTGATGTCATAACAATATGAGGGAAATTCCTAGGATCCTGAAACAAATCAGGAGCTGACCGGCAGAGTCGAAGGGATTGAGTTGTGAAGCTTATGCTGCGCGGGAGCCCACCAAAGTCTGTGTTGTCGAGGAAATAAATGAGCTAAGAAAACCCAGGTCTAGGCACAAACAAGGAAGCTGAGGCCCATGTGGAGTAAAAACGTTTTGTTTCGTTCGCCACAGAGTCTTGCTGTGTCACCCAGGCTGGAGTGCCATGGTGGCACATGCCTGTGGTCCCAGCTACTCGGGGGCTGAGGTGGGAGGATCACCTGAGCCCAGGAAGGTTGAGGCTGCAGTGAGCAGAGATCACGCCACTGCACTCCAGTCTAGGAGACAGAGTGAGACCCTGTCTTGAAAAGATAAATAAATAAATTGCAAATAATTCATTAGGAGTGAAAACCAACAGATTTTTAAAAACAGGGTTAGAACCTTAGGATTTTAGATAATTTGAGTAATACAATAGATACTTTTTTAAAAATCATTTGAAATCCTTTATAGAGATGGGGTCTTACTATGTTGCCCAGGCTGGACTGCAGTGGTATGATCATAGCCCACTACAGCCTCCAACTCCTGGGCCCAGGTGATCCTCCTGCCTCAGCCTCTCAAGTAGCTAGGACTCCAGGGGCATGGTACCACACACACCCAGATTTTTTTTTTAAGTAAAGATGGAGTCTTGCTATGTTGTCCAGCCTGGTCTCAAACTCCTGCCCTCAAGCAGTCCTCCCGCCTCGGCCTCCCAAAGCCCTGGGACTACAAGCAAGAAGCCTGGCCAGATGCTTTGAAAGACATTTTTTAAAAATAAAGGCATCAAAGATTAAAAAATAAATACTGTGGGAGAAATTTTAAAAAGAACCCAGGCAGGCAGATTTGAAAAGGAACCTATTCGAACATTTAGGAATGAATATAATCATTTGAATTTAAAAAATAGGCAAATAGAGGCTGGGCACGGTGGCTCACGCCTGTAATCCCAGCACTTTGGGAGGCCGAGGCGGGTGGATCACGAGGTCAAGAGATCGAGACCATCCTGGTCAACATGGTGAAACCCCGTCTCTACTAAAACTACAAAAAATCAGCTGGGCATGGTGGCGCGTGCCTGTAATCCCAGCTACTCAGGAGGCTGAGGCAGGAGAATTGCCTGAACCCAGGAGCCGGAGGTTGCGGTGAGCTGAGATCGCGCCATTGCACTCCAGCCTGGGTAACAAGAGTGAAACTCTGTCTCAAAAAAAAAAAAAAAATAGGCAAATAGAAAGATTAAAGAGTAGATTTGACAGGGCTGCGATGGAATTGGCAAGATGGAAAATAGATCTGAGGATATCAAAGTAGCAAAGAGCCAGGCATGGTGGCTCACACTTGTAATCCCAGCACTCGGGGAGGCTAAGGCAGGCAGATCACAAGGTCAGGAGTTCAAGACCAACCTAGCCAGCATGGTGAAACCCCATCTCTACTAAAAATACAAAAAATTAGCCAGGCATGGTGGCATGCACCTGTAGTCCCAGCTACTTGGGAGGCTGAGGCAGGAGAATTGCTTGAACCCAGCAGGTGGAGGTTGCAGTGAGCTGAGATCATGCCACTGCATTCCGGCCTGGATGACGGAGCGAGACTCCATCTCAAAAAATAAAGTAGCAAAGAAAATATTTGAGAATTTAAAGGGTAAGTGAAAGATAGAATAAGACTTGAACATAAATCTGATAGGAGTTACAGAAGAGAGAAAAGGGAGGCAATTTTTGAAGAGAAGGCTGAAATTTGTCCTAAATTAGTTATGTGCACTGAATTTTTTGTTATTCTCCATAATGTATTTCCATTAAAATTTAATCACGTGGTCTTTATAACTTTTCTATGGCTGCGTATAACTAAGTTGATGGTGAACTTTTTTAAGGAAATAAACTTTATGAAGACTCTATGCATAATCTAATTTACTGAAGCTATGATTGATTCACGCACGTTACTGAAGCAAGCGATGTTGCCTTTGGTAGGGATGGTAGACAGCAGGCATAGTTCTGTGGGAAGACTTGTAGCTCCGGCTTAACCATTTAATATCCATGTTGTTTAGTCAAGTCAGCTAACTCCTCTTTGAAGTTCATCTTTCTCATTGGCAAGTGGGAATAATATCTGTGCAGCCTGCCTCATAGAATTGCTGTAAAGGTACGTAAAGACCAGGAAATCAACATAGTAAAGGAGAAAAATTAAATCATCATGGCAGTAGCTGCTTGTGGCAGAAACAATGCCATGTGTTCACTAAATTATTTCTCCCTCTCTCTCTCTTTCCCTCCCTCCCTCCCTCCCTCCCTCCTTCCTTCCTTCCTTCCTATACACAGTTAAATTACATTTCCCAGACTCCCCAACAGTTATGTGGCACCACATGATTGAGTTCTAGCCAATGACATAGGGAGAGAAAAATACCACTTGCAGGTGTTATGTTCTGTCTGATTATTATTTCTTTTGTGTGTGCTGGTTGGATGTCAATTTCCGGGATGTTCTGGAAGCCATACATTGAAGATGATGGACCCTTTTTCAGCCAGGATTCTATAAGACAATGTGGAGAAAGTCCCCCTCCCCCACATTGGTCTGTGGTTGATGTGTACAAAAATTATTTTATTATGCCCCTGAGACAGAGGGGTTACTCGCCACAGCAGCTGGCATAACTTCACTTCATACATTGCTGAAAAGATGTTTGAGGAGATCCTTTTGTGATTCATAAGTGTGATGATTGAGTTTTCATACTCCTGTGTGAGATGTGCCCCCGAAAACCTGCAAACCTGTCACAACATTTGGTCATTATCAGACATGAAAAAAAAAAGTCTGTTTCAGGAGTTAAAAATGGAACTTGCAGAGCCGGGCGCGGTGGCTCATGCCTGTAATCCCAGCACTTTGGGAGGCCGAGGCAGGTGGATCACAAGGTCAAGAGATCGAGACCATGGTGAAACCCCGTCTCTAAATATATATATATATATATATATATATATATATATATATATGTATATAAAAATAAAAATGGAACTTGCAGAAACATCAAGAGATGAGGGAAATTTCCATCCCTCGGTCACTACAGCGTCAAGTGTCTGTTTTGCCATCATTTGTTTGGACACAGGAGGCTAGATAGGAGCGTGGGTGTGCCTGTGGGTGTGTCTGACTCTCCCCTCCCCAGGATAACTCTGGCTAAATCCAAATTTGTATATCCAATCGTCCTTCTTTCTCCTTTTTTTTTTTTTTTTTTTTTTTTTTTTTTTTTTTTGAGATGGTGTCTTGCTCTGTCACCCAGGCCGGAGTGCAGTGGCACAATATTGTCTCACTGCAACCTCCGCCTCCCAGGTTCAAGCGATTCTCCTGCCTCAGCCTCCTGAGTAGGTGGGACTATAGGGGTGTGCCACCACACCTGGCTAATTTTTATATTTTTAGTAGAAACGGGGTTCACCGTGTTGGCCAGGCTGGTCTCAAACCCCTGACCTCAGATCTGCCCGCCTCAGCCTCCCAAAGTGCTGAGATTACAGGCATGAGCCACTGTGCCCGGCCTTGCCGTTCTTTCTCTAGGACTAATGCCATCAAGTTCCAGGACTTACAACATGTGCTTCCTTAACATCAGAGAAGGCTTCACCAGGTGGTGATGTCCTTAAGATGTCTTCCTCATTTCAAAAGCTTTAAGTTCAAAATGTACTAGATCTTAGATAAGGTCACGTGCTACTTGCAAACACTGAAGGAGTGGTTCTTCAAAGACTGAGGAATTAAACTTCTCTGAATTGTACACATTGTGAGTGAAACTGAGCCACTGGAAAATACTTTACTGTTGAACTCAATGCACTCTGTCATTGGTCAAATTGGTGTTGACTTGTAACAAATGGAAATGCTTTTATGCTATGATGGAAGTGTTATTTGCATTTTTCATTACTAGTCTTATTTTTAAAATTATTTTTCAATAGATAACATAGTCACTTGGTTCAAAAATAAAGCCCACTTTCCAAGTAGTTACTGGTTTTTAACATAAGAATTTCATTTGATGCACATAGCAAAATATATATACTCTTATTCCCTTCCCCATTTCTCTACACAAAATTGAGCTTGCCAGACACATTGTTCCACATCTTGCTTTTTTTTACTTAACATGATATCTTGACAGTCTTTTACATCAGTTATTTTTAACAACTGCATGTTTAACTTTTTGTTTTGAAACAATTACGGATTCACAGTAAATTGCAAAGGTATCCTCCACCCAATTTTCCCCTAATATATTAACACCTGGTTTTTAAAATTGTAAGTTAAAATAACAGTAGCAAAACACCTTCAGCACCGTTTCTTCCTTTCTTTCTTTTTAGTCAGGGTTTCCCTCCGTTGCCAGGCTGGAGTGCAGTGGCTTTAGCCTGGCACACTGCAGCCTCCAGCTCCCGAGCTGAAGCATTCCTCCTGCCTCAGCCTCTTCCAGTAGATGGGACTTCAGGCATGAGCCACCACACCCAGCTAATTTTTTAATATTTAGTAAAACCAGGGTCTTACCATGTTACCAAGGCTGATCTTGAACTCCTGGCCTCAAGTGAGTCTGCTGCCTTGGCCTCCCAATGTGCTGGGGTTGTAGGCATGAGCCACCATGCCTGGCCCACTTTTAGCACTATTCTAAGTGCTTTAAATATATGAACTTATTAGTAAAAATGTATCACCCCATATACAGATGGGGAAAATAAAGCACAAAGAGGCTAAAGTGTAAGGGTTATTGCCGAGTTTAAAATGAAGAACTGAGGCCAGTATAAGAAAATTGAATGCCAGTTTATTCAGCTCCCGGGCGAGGTTCTATGGTCTGGGAAAGGGGGCCAGAGAAGCGCTCACTTCCTGGGGCGTTGGGTTTTTGTGGCTATGAGTAACGAGCAACAGCAGGGCGCTCTGATTGGCTCTGGGGGAGCGGGATTGGGCCGCTATTGGTTGGTGGGTTGGCGGGCGGGTTTTTTTGGTGCAAGATTTGGTTAGGGTTGCATCAGCCGGAATTCCCGACTGGAGGGCTGGGTGCACAACTGGGTGCTGAGTGCAGAACTGGGTGCTGAGTGCAGAGCTGGGTGCTGAGTGCAGAACTGGGTGCTGAGTGCAGAGCTGGGTGGCTGTCCGGGCTCCTGATGAGGCGTCCGGCCTTACATAAAGAATGTGTCCAAATAACAGAGATAGTAATTAATGAGGCCGGGTTTTGGACTTGGGCCATTTGGCTTAAAAGTCTGCGTTCTTAACTCTTAGATAAGACTGCATTAACTCCTTTGAGTAATGGGTGTTAATAGTTAAGCAGAAGCAAACAATGATTTGAAGGGTTGAAAGTGTAATCACTTCATTCTTTTGCAAACTTTCATAAATGTACTGTGTTCATGCGTGCGATATATTTTAAGACAATACTGTTTTAAAACTTTTTTGATGGTTTTAATATTGAACTTTCCATATCAGTATAATCTCTTACATCGTTCTACATATCTGCATCATTTTCTATGATTTTCCCTTAGTTTATTACAGACAAATATTTGTGTTATAATAATTGGTGCAGAAAACATTCTTGCACACGGATTTCTGCTGATTTATATGAGCGAACCTACAGCATAAGATGCTGGAAGTGGAATGTTGGCTCAAAGGTATGTGTGTTCTGTATTTTAATAGACACTGCCAAATCCCTCTTCCAAAGGATGGCTGCAATTTATGCTTCTGACCTCACTTTCTGCTCCTAATTACCTCTAGAACCTCTATTAGGGAATTCTTTATAATAACCAGAGACCTACATTGAACCAGTAAGTCCCAGAATTGAGCTTTTGTACTTATTAATAATGTGTCTCTCCTACCAGTTTCACGGTAAAAAATAAAAATTTTTGTTATTCAATACTACAATTGTGTTACAGCAGTCATCTACTGTAGTTGTAATAGTTGGTACTGAAAGGTTTTTTTTTTTTTTTTTTGAGACAAAGTCTTGTTCTGTCACCCAGGCTGGAGTGCAGTGGTGCAATTTCAGCTCACTGCAAGCTACACCTCCTGCCTAAGAAATTTTAAGGTTTAAGAAATTCTCCTGCCTCAGCCTCCCAAGTAGCTGAGATTACAAGCACTCGCCACCATGCCTGGCTAGTTTTTTGTATTTTTAGTAGAGACGGGGTTTCACCATGTTGGCCAGGCTAGTCTTGAACTCCCGACCTCAGGTGATCCACCGGCCACAGCCTCCCAAAGTGTTGGGATTATGGGCGTGAGCCACAGCACCCAGCCTTGAAAGGTTTTTTTTGAGTCACAGAAAGGTTCATGTAAATGAGATGTTTTTAAGGAATGTTAAAACAGAAGCATTATTAGTATTATTAATCACAAATTTACT